GTGCAAGGGCAAGTTGATGAACATCTGATGTTAGAATCAACATTCCCTCTAAGGTGCATTGTCAAGTAATCTGTAAATTCCCAGGCAAATCAATGTCTAAGTTACTGTGTGGCATAAACAGTGGAAAAAAAATCTTGAGTCCATACATTTTCTGGAAATGGTCAAAGACTGCTGACTGTGACTACTGATTGCCACGGAATGCTGATAATTGAGTAATAGGGATGTGGCACTGAACACCATGAGAGGTCAGTAGATGCCTTCGCTGACCTTAACTATCCATGAGAGGACATTAAACTTCTTATGGCACAGCTGCCAGCTCCTCTGGACCAAAATCTTTACATTCACCTTCCTGGCCACCTGCTCCTGTGACCTTCAGAGACCAGCTCTTAAGCAATACCACCCTACCCGTCACCTCAGTCCCATTCACCTCCACCATCACATCCCGGGGCCTAGAAACCTCCTCTCTGCCTTGGTGTTCCATTTTATTCACTTCCTACGTGACACCAGTGTCCTTCCAAGTGTAAAATTCCAACTTGGATTCCCAAGAATGAATTCCTTAAGTTGGAAGCACATATTACTAGAGTTGGGTTGCCAACACTTCATACAACATTCTGGTTTATTATTTTAAGATTGAGAAAGAATCTGCAGCAATCTGGGTCAAATCTTTGAAATAAATTTTTAAGTCACTATTAACCTCAATAATTAATTGGTTTCACTGTTCCATTCTACTGAGATTAAACTTCATAGACCTTTTTCAGCAAATTCTCGCTAACATTTTATTATTGGAATTTTATTTAGCATAGAACTACAACTGTTCAGCATCAATCTGGTAAATATGTACAGTTTAACTTACAGTTAAATTGATCCATCCTGCTCCAGCTTTGTGGCAATTTTAAAGTTTTCATTCCAATTTAAATCTCTCCATGACCTCACCTCTCTCCATCTTTGTAATCTCTTCCAGTCTAAGAACCCAGTGATTTCTGCACTCCAAGATCTGACTTCTTGTGTATCTCTGATATTCCTCGCTCTAATATTGGAGGCTATACCACCAACTATCAAGGCCCAAAGCTCTTGGATCAACTTCTAGCCCCTTGCTCACCTCTTATGATATCTTAAAATCTATCTTTTCCACCACTGTTTTGAATATCATCCTTGTGTCTTCTAATGCGGCTGTACATCAAATTTTGTTTCAGGAGTGCTGAGGGGATGATCCATCCCAGTCTCCTCCTGAAGGTCCCACCCTTCAACCAATTTCATTCACTCCACGTGATATCAAGAAACTACTGAAGGCATTGGATGAAGCAAAGGTTTGAAGCCCCAACAAAAATCCCTTCGTATTGAAAACTTCTACTCCAGAACTAACAATGATACTCCATTACAGCTCCAATTTTGATAGCTACCTTGAAAAATAACCAATATTGTAAGTTTTTGTCTACAAAAAACAGGGCAAATCTGATCTGGCTGAATACCATCTCGTCAGTTAACTCTCAAACATCAGCAAAATAGTGGAACATGTCATTAGCACTTATCATCAGCACAAAAAAGGCAATAACCTGCTCACTGATCCTCAAATTGGGCTTTGCATGGACCACCAAGTTCCAAACTGCATTATTATCTTAAACCAAACATGGTCAAAGGGCTCAAGCGAGGAGAGAGTTTAACACTATGGCAGCATCTCACTGAGCATAGTACTAAGGAACCCTAATAAAGTTAATTGGGTTCAGAGACAACTCTCCATTATTGTGGTCATTTTTAACCTAATGGAAGATAGTTGCAGTTGGTGAAAGCCAATTATCTCAGCCCCAGGATTTTGCTGTGTAAGTTCCTCAGGGTAGATATTCGCCAATCAACCTATTCAGGGATGTTATGACACACCTCTGGAGCAGGTCGAATTTGAACCCAGGCCTCCTGGATCGAACACAGGGATACTATCACTGCTCCACAAAGCTCAACTTCAATAGATAGTGCCCTGGGCCCAAACATCTTCAGCCACTTCATCAATTACTTGCTTCCATCGTAAGATCAGAATTGGGAATATAGTTGATGAATGACATTTGCAACTCAGAGAATGAAGCAGCCATGCCAACGTAAGACCTGGACAATACTCAGACTTTTGCTGACAAGTGGTAAGTAACATTCACACCACACAAGTGCCAGAATGTCTCCAACAAAACAGGGTCTAAACATTTTCCCTCAATATTCAATGACATTGTCATCTTCAAATGTTCCATCATCACCATCCTGGACGTTACCATTGTTCAGAAGTTAAGTTGGACAAGCCTTACAAGTACTGTGGCTACAACAGCAGGTCAAAAGCTGGAAATTCTCAGGTTTAAAAATACTAATCACTACCTGACTTCCCTACACCCGTCTGTCATCTACAAAGAACAAGTGTGATGGAATACGCTCCAACAGTCTGGAGGAGTGCAGCTCCAATAACACCCAAAAAGATCAACAAAACCCAGGTCAAAGCATCCTGCTTGACTGGTATCCCACCCATCTCCATCAATAGTCATTCCATTCACCACCGATGCAGAGTGGCAGTAACGTCATCTACAGCGAATCAAAAATAGTTAGTTAGAAGGTCATATTGATACAGTGACATGGAAGACAGTTTGAAACACACTGCCAGTTGAGCTGAAAGGCTGTTTCTGTACTGTATGTTCTTTGGAATGCTATCAACTGTAGAACAGAATTGTATTTATAATCAACACATGTGGCAAAGATTGCATGCAAAATAATCACAGCCAGATGGTGGATTTAATGACAGGACGGGGCCCACAAATGAGGATTATATAGCATTGCCACTTTTAACAAGGTTTATTTGTAAAAATATAACTATAAACTTCATTTTATGGCTAAAGTTTTTTAAAGCGATAAAATGTAAATTTCAATTATCCACATAATGCCAACCTCGACATCATTTTAGGTACAGAAATGATTCTGTGACCTTCCTCACCAACCACACTGTGCATCTAGGAAAAAAATACCTTACTGTGTGTCTGCGATTGTGGGAAGTAGCATGGACGGAAACTGGAGTGGGGGCAGTAAAAGATGTTCAATTTAACAATCACATGCTCCTTGACATTTCCAACGAATGGATGCTGGTCCTTCAAAACCTTGCAGGTTGTTGTGATTAAGCAGTGTGGCAATATTGTCAACTTTTCAATGACCTGGCGGCGTGGGGCAGAAGTGAATCCCTTATGACCGAGATATAATTCACACTGGACTTCTTTATTGCTCAGCAAACCAACAGTGCAAACCAGTTTCCAACACAGGCAACAAATGGGAGGCTCTTTTTTCCCCTAGAATGGATTTCCAAGCCAAACCAGTCATTTTGCACAACAGAATTTCAAGCTTAATTCCTACAAGATGTTGAAATTAGTCTTCATTTTCTTTCTGCCATCCCTCCACACTTGATGTAATCTACTCAGACCAACAGGAAAAGACATACAGTAATGCTCATGTGTGTTTTAAATCAAAGTTTAATTCAACTCTAATAATAAAAGTACCAATCTGCCCGCATCAGGTAAAACAGAAAAAAGCAAAAGAAAGAGGTACAAGTAAATTTGATTTGCTCAGTAGTCAGTATGGTAAAAAGGACTAGAGAATTTCATTTTCCACAGGCCACCCATTTAACTCACATTTAAACAATGGTTACATTATACACAGATTTCACACATTTTTAAAGTAGTTTAATATATGGCACCTATCTGTTTAGGCTGGTGATGTGCAACTGCTACTATCCCAGCTGTTTAAGTTATTCGACCTGCTAAGTAACTTATCTGTTTCATATCATTCCCATTCGCCTCTACTGCTGCTTCTCAGCAGATTTCTAGGTAGTACGAATTGGAAGGAGCCACTAGCAGTAACAATATACTTTTAGAAGTGTCCAAAATGATAGAAAATAAATGATTTAATAATATCTTACAGTGATGTCTGTGTAACACAGCAACATATACCTAGTCGCTTGGAAAGACAGAATAGGTGTCGTAAGTAATACACCGAGTGTGGGGCATTTGGGATTTGGTCTTTCCAAACTCGGAGATGAGAACAAGTGAGATTTTCTTTCCATTTAACAAACTATTGAGGTAGCTGAATAACAGCACCAGTGGTCCAGGCGTGTACAGGCAGCAACATTCAGTTGTCATTTGGGCAGATTTGCCCTGGGTTTGTACAGCCAGATTGATTTTCAAATGGGAGCTTTTCTTCCAGAACACGTCATGGAAATGAGCAAGATAGATTTATCTTAGCTAGGTTATCAACTAATGTCAGATTTTAACTCAAAGGTTTATACATGAGAACAACATAACATGCATCACGAAACTGCAGTTGTTGTTAATTCTATGCAACTAGAAATCTGCCGAATTCCACACTGTCGGAGCGGTTCAAAGAACAAATACTATATTTTCCAGCAATGAGTGGAACTGGCATAGGTCAAACAATATAGACGGATGCTAACTGCAGTTTAAGACTGTAGAAGGTACCACGACT